AGTTATGGTAAAAATAGACAATATTTATATATCTGGTACCTTTGGCAACTCCCTACTGTTAATTCAGTAACTCAACTTTGAATTTCAAGCCAGAAAATTTTAAAGCCTTTGCTCTCCAGGGTTAAGTTACAACCAATCCTACCTTGGTAGGATTTTATTAGATAAAAATACTTTGTGACTATTAATGACAAAACCAAAGGAAGGATTTTTCTGAAACTCCGAGGTTAAACTATCAAAGATTACAAGTGATTTATTTTCTATTAAAACTAGTAGTCATCTATAATTCATTTTTACAGTCAATCTTTTTGCAAGTCCAGTTGATGGTAAAGGCAAATACAGGGGTGATCTCATCAGGCAGTTGATAGGTTTTCTAGGCTGATTTTTTCTCAGATTTACAGATGTCATTATATTCTGATAGTCAACATTTTTAACAGCATTATGAAATTATTAGGGAGCTGAGCACTAAATATAAGACCCTTTCCTGAATTATTTGACACCACTAACCATTGCTTTCCTTTGTGTAATAATTTTCTCAGATATTAAGGAAGCATGATGGTTCTCTGAAGAGGCGATGCGGGCTTAGTGAAGGAAAGAGTGGGGAAACCTTATTTTTTTAAACCAAGTATCCAGGGGCCCCTAGGGGCTCAGTTGGTTAAACGTCTCCTTTCAGCTCAAGTCATGATCTCCGGGTCCTGGGATTGAGCGCTGCATTGGGCTCCGTGCTCAGCAGGGCATCTGCTTCTCTCTCTCCCTCTGCCCCTCCCCACTGCTCATTCTGTCTCTCAAATAAATAAAATCTTTTAAAAAAAGGATATTAAAACAAGTATCCATGAAATCCCTTTTTAGAAATTATAATAATCTTTAAAAATTGTATTTATTTATTTTTATTTCTATCACCCTTAATCTGATCCTAAAGCTGTTATTAGGCTTAAAATGATAGAATAAGAGGTTTGCCATGTGGAAGTGAACAATAATCTATAGACCACTGGAATTAATTTATTTACTGCTCCAGAAGACTGAGTCAGTGTGATATAATGGTAAGCATACTTATTGGAAGACTTGGGGTGGAGTCCAGGCATCCTCTTTACTTGCTTTTTTTGACCCTACATAAAATAATTTCTCTGGGTCTCATCTTAAGATGAGAAATCAGAAAATATCACTGATTCTACACAAAGAACTGACAGATATGGAAATGATAAAGACGACCAAAGAGAGTATGTTGGGGAAATTTGCCAGGTAGCGACATGTATGGTATGTATTTTATATTACTGAGTGAAATTAAAAAACAAACAAACCCCAACAAACCATTATTTTAGCAGGGACTTCAGAAATAAAGAGAAAGTCACTGTGACTTTTATAAAATGAATGAAACTGGGAAATGAAACAAACAAACAAACCCTGTGCTGGGGAAATAATTTGTTACAGAGTTGCCTATCACATACAAAGTAACAAAGAACAGAAATGAGTTACATAGATTCAAGAGAATAAAAATCTCTTTTATATACTTGAGGGAAACAAAATCACAACAAAAACCAAAACTGCCATGAGAAATTCCAGCACTGAAAGTTGAAAGCATGGGATTATCTGGAAGGTAAAAATAAAATAAAATATAGTCTTGGTCTTTTTTTTCTTAAGATTTTATTTATTTATTTATTTGAGAGAGAGAGCGAGCGAGCACAAGCAGGGGGAGCAGCAGAGGGAGATGGAGAAGGGAGCCTTATATTGGGAAATCAGGCATGAAAAAGGTAATAACCATTTCCCAAGAGGAAATCCGAATGGCTAGTTGATATGTGAAAAGGAATTCAATAACAACATTGCTCAAATCTCAGCAATCAGAGAAATGCAAGTTAAAACCATAATGGCATACAACTATACATCCACTAGACTGGCAAAAGGATTGACAATACTAAGAGGGGATGAGGGTGTGGAGCAATGGGGCTCACATACATGGCTGGCGTGAGTATAACCCTCTAGAAACAGCTCCCAGGTATATACCACACAGAAACTGATATAAATGTGATGGAATATACATACAAAGAATATTCACAACAGCATTTTTAACAGTCCCAAACTGGAAACAATCCAGATGTCCATCAACAATAGAACGGTTAAATAAATAATAAATTATGGAATATTGCTACAATGGAACACTGCAATTAAAATGAACAAATTACAACTATATGAACAACCTGAACAACATACGGATTAAAAACGACGTTGTGCGAAAGCAGCAAGCAAACAGATTACACATTATGTTTTTCCATTTAATAAAGTTCAACAGAAAGGACAAAACTAAACAACATATTGTTTAGGGATGCATGCTTATGAGAAAACAATAGAGAAAAGCAAGGAAATGATTATCACCAAAGTTAGAATAATGGCTACCTCTAAAAGAGAGGGAAAGAGTTGTGCTCAGGAAGGTCACCAGGGGGGCTTCTAGAATGCTGGCAATGTTCCATTTCTTGACCTGGTTGGCCACAGGCAGGTTTCTTTTATAACTACTTATTACACCGAATAACTGCTATACGCATTTTAATGTATATCTCACAATAAAAATGCTAAAAGTAATTGAAGACTTTTTAGATGGCATTTCTAGAAATTTTACCAGATAATTTAGCTTATGAAATCTTTGACACTAAAAACCACTGATGTGGGATGATAAAACACTGATTAAATAGTTTCTCATAATAGCTCACTTTCAAGTGCATGAGAAAAGAACCCTCTACAAATATCCCTTTGTTATATTCTAACATAGCATGCAGATCTTTATCACAAACAAACTGATGAAGCAGGGAAAGAACTGTTACCTGAAATTTCAGATTTTTTGGAATTTTGAACAAACTAGGTGTTTTCTCCTCCGGATTAATAATAACTAAAGAGACACGCAGACCAAGTCAGAAATGTATGAACTTCCTCCTCTCTAGTTGCCAGTTCCAGCTGTTTCCTCCAGTTTTCGTACTGGGTGGTGATGTGGGTGGATTTTGCCCAGTAAGTTTAGTGCCGCTATTACTTCGTAAGTAGGTGGATGAGGGCTCTCCTGAGTGCTTTCCTCTCAGTACCAGGTTCTAAGGTGGAGCCACTGACAGTGAAAATGGATCAGGCTACTGAAAAACCCCATGTGGTACAGTACACACTTTCCTGGAGGTGTCCTCTGCTGGGTTGCAGAGCTCTGGTGTTTGCGTTCTTTTTATCCAAAGCACACAGAACTTAAAATCTGAGGTGCTCAGCTTCACAGAATCTCCTAAATCTGGGCATTTTATTCATTTATATCCACCAGGAAATTAGGGAGGGGGCAGAACCAAATAGAGATTTATTTTGTAGCCATGTGGGGCTAGCACTTGGGGGCCAGATTCCCTGTGAGTCTTATTAGGAAGGACATGGCAGGGCATTGATCATGACAAGGCAGTCAAATCCACAGCAGCTTAAGCAGGATAGCTAACCTGGCTCTTGGAACTTTGATTCAAGGACACTTCGGCAAGTGCTGTTTTGTGAGACTCTTCTTGCTTCTGCAACATCCACTTACCACTCCCATCAATTTTTCTGCAGCATTTTAATAAAAATGAGCCCTTGGATTCACCCAGTTAGACGTTTCCTTAGTCTACTGTTCGCATATGGTGGTGGTAGAAACCCTGAGCTTCCAAAGTCTGCCTATAAAAACTCGCTCCTTATTCCCTGAAGTGGAAAGACTTGTAATATCCGTTAATGCTGCTTGGAGAGCAGATAGGGTGTGCCAGGGTCCAGCGACAAGAACTCTGGAATCTGCTTCCTTTCATCATTGCTGCTGCTTTCATCTCAGTCTCACGCTCTTCACCCGGACAGGTTCAAGACAGATTCTGAGGATTCTGATCCTTTCATCTTAAAATTTCTTTTCCTAGAGAACTACACTTTCAACCTCATGAGTTTTTATTTGAATTTACTTTCCAGAATAACATCTGTAGGAAAAGCTGCATAATAGTAATAATATTTATTTTAGAAATGAAATAGCTTTTGAGTCAGGCCTGAAACACAGGCCAACATTTCTTGATGATGGTTATGGACACTTACTACCAACCAAGATCAGCTCTCCAAAGCTTCATACAAGCAAGAATGGTTCCTAAAACTGAGATACTACTAACATCTCCTCCTGAAAAAGTAAAAAATCTTTCCACAATCTCCGGGAGGATGCTTCCTTCCCTTGTCTTGGCAATTCGCCCCCACTTTACACTAAAGACCCAGGTTGTGACTCCGTACTCAAACCGCACCCCTATTTCCTTTCGTGGGGGTGGGGGGGATAAGGGATGTATTACCACTCTCATCTTTACAATACAACGTAGCTTACAAAACGCCTGCACTTCCATCAACTCCTCTGAACTCCGCGAGTGCCTCAGAGGGAGGCATTCATTCATTCACCAAACATTTGCTCGGCCCGACCACACGTTATCGGGTGCTAGGCTCGCCCCACACCACGGGAAGGGTGGGGCGCTCGCTCCTTGGAGCAGGTGCAGCGGATCAGGCTGTAGGACAAGTTCTCGCTCAGTCTGGCTTTTCGAAGGCCCATTCGGAGCTAAATGCCTCACCTTCGGGTGGTGCGCGCCCGACCATGGCCGCGCGGCCTGGGCCTTCCTCCTTGCTCCCAAAGGAGCAGTCACCACCTGCCCTGGAGGAAACCGCTACAGAGCGAGCTTTCCCCGCCACCGTCGGGTCAGGGGTAAGATCAGGCGGCAGCTTAGGCTCCACTCGGCTCCTCCCCTTCCTCTCTTCAATTCTGACGCGGCCGTAGAGGCGGCGGCAACGGCGGCTAGTCCCGCGTCCCGAGGCGCACCCACCCGCTCGCGGAGCCCCGACTTCCTCTTCCCCTCTAGCGTCATCAGAGCGCGCCAGAGTCACCCAGGGCGGGGTGGTTAGAAAGGGAAAAAAAAGGCCGCGGAGGAAACGTCCCGGCGGAAAGAAAAGGGAGGGGGTGAGGGGAGCGGTTGCTAGGTGACTTGCGTCATCCGGCGGCGCCGCTTTCCTCCCGCCCCTCTCTGGAGTGAGGCGAGAGCCCCGCACAGAGCGAGCGAGACAGCGAGCTGAGCTCCGGGCGCTACCGCCACCGCAGCGGAGAGCGTGAGAGCGAGGGAGCATCTGAGAGACCCAGCCCCCGTGCACTGGCCACCGCCGAGACCTTCGTCCTGACCTGGACCAGCGGGAGCCGCGGCCACCCCACTTCTCCCCCCCTCACCTTCCCGGCCGGCAGTGGCGGCTGCACACGCCGGAGCCCAAGCCGGAGCCGGCGGCTGGGGGGCAGGGAGGCGGCTACCTCGGGCCGGGACTAGTCAGCTTCTCCGCGGTGAGAAGACGCTGAGGAGGGGCCGAAGCTTCTGTCTCGTCCCGGAGCGCGGGGCGAGGGACCCCCAACGTGTAGGGAGGGGGTCCCAGCCGCAGCGACACATGCGGGAGCCGGGAGCGGGGGCGGCGCCGAGCGGAGCCGGCCGGGTCCCCCACCACGCCGCTGCCTCGGCCACCCGCCCGGGGCCGTAGCATCTTGCCCCGGAGTGTATGAGCCGGGGACCCAAGCTCAGCAACCACCCCCCGGCCGGGGGGGCGGGGACCCCGATGTGAAGCGGCGGCCCCGGCGGCGGGGAGAGCAGGACCGGCGCCGCCGTCCCTTCCTTACCTTCCCCCCCCCCTCAGCCCCCTCGCGGGGGAGGGGGTCTTCTCCCCTGGCCAGTCGCCGGCCCCCCGGCTCCTCGGCAGAACTCCGGGAGGAGTTCTTAGAGCCCCCTCCCCCGCCCCAGCCCCGAGGGCGGGGGGGACCCGGGGGGCCGGCTGCAGCCTCAGCCCAGAGGAAAACTTTGTAAGAGCAAAATCTGGAGCCTCCCAGACGTGACTGTCCCGGGAGAAGTGGCCCAGGGCGGGCAGAAGACACAGCCTGAAGAGACCCAGGAAGAGGAAAAGAGGAGGTAAGCGGGGCCGCTGCCGCCTCCTCTGCTCCGGCAGCGCGGAAGAGACCCGGGTGACCGCCTGGCTTAGAGACACAAGCACCGCTTCTTCCTCAGTAACGTGCCGGAGCCTTCCGCAGCTGCCGCCTCAGAGCGAAGGAGGAAGGGAACCAACCCACTTTCTCAGCGCCACGGCTCTTCCCTAAAGTGTGAGTGGCGGGGGGAAAGGGAATCGAGGGGTAGAAAGTGGGAGGATACCGGTTCGTCCTCGTGGAGTGCTGCTGATGTTTTGCAGGAGTGTTGGGAGTGTATAGATGAGAGGGTGCATTTTTATTTTTACAGCGGGGAAAAGGTATTGGGTAGTCCTGTGTTTTATAATATTTTAACCCCTTGTACGGGTAATATGCAAACTTGCAGATTTCTCTTAGAGGAGTTCTGTCTATCCAGAGTGGACACTTGCGCCTTTCTGGCCGGTAATTGGCAAAAGGAAATTGAGGAAGCCAAAGCATATGTGCACACAAAGGACATCTCTGTAATACACCTTTTCCTGGTACACCGGGTGTGAAACTGTGCTGTGGTTTTTGTTTCGGGGCAACTCTTATTAGGGTTCTCAAGAGGGAACCTTTTACCCTGTGAACCCCTGAAAGTAAAATTCCATTCTTATTTTGCAGTCTTCCTTGAGGGATTTTCATTTCAGTACCTATTGGTACAGGAGTTTTTTACCTTATTTCCGCGGTCCAGTTCCTTTGTGCCAGGAGCTCGTAACAGATTTGTTACTCAGGAAATTCTGAGTTCTTATGAATCACGACTTACTTGGGGGAGAGCATCTAGTACTTTAACCAGTTTATAAAAGTTGTTACATTTTTTTCCCTATCCAAATGCTTTTTTTTTTTTTAATTTTTGGGTAGCGTATGTCCTAATTGCTGGCACTTTTTTTATTTGGCAGAATGACTTGAGACTTTGCTTGTTTGAGTTATCTTTACTTCACTATCAAACAAGGAGAAACTTTTTTGGTATTTAATTCTTTGAAGAATGATTTTTAAGGTGAAGTTTATAAAATCTTTGATATGCATTTTAGGTATCCTCTCAAGAGTGCCAAGTTGAGATGCAAGAAAGTAATTACCATTTCATATATTTATATAGACCTTAAGGGTTAAGCATAGGGTGGCATTTTATTTAACAGAACATAGGCAGTACTATACTGAGAATTGTGGCTCCTCCAGGCAACAGTGTGGGCTCACTCCCTCTGAAGCCACTGCTGAGAGAAGCTTTGTAGTAATGAATGTAAGCCAGGGGTTGTCTGTGCTAACTTCTCCTTTCAGGATCGTGATTAAATTTATTTAAAACTTTCTCAAATAGTGTTTTCATCTGTACTTTTTCTCCTTTGAGGTAGTGAGTTCTACAAGTTTATTAGCCCCTGAATTATTTAACATTTCATTTATTTGTCCAAAATCTGTCTCTTTAAAGTTCCAAGACATATCCAGAGTTTTTGTTTTGAGAAGTGCTAGGACAAGCTGGAGTTCATCTTTTCCTGGTTTTATAGATTTTGATTATTCCTCTTTACCGTTGTCTTTCCTGACTCTCTGTGTTGGTCTTAGAATGATTACTTTGATCCCTTGATCATTTTACCGCCTCTGGAACTTCTCCAGCTGTTTTGTTTCTCTTTATATATTTGTGCTTGTTATGCTTTTGTAAGGAACCTTAAGTTCTAATTTAAATGGGTAATGACATGAAAATACTGATTAGTAGATGTGATGTTAGATGTCAAATCAAAAGCAAATGTCTCTGGATCTGTTATCTTCTTTTGAGACCTTGAGGAAGTCATGTATCCCATGTTTTATAAAGATGGGAGAAAGAGAAATCTAGTCTTGGCATAGGCTGTTTTTCAGGCAGGAAGGGAAGACAAACCAGCAAACTATAATTTGAGTGTAGATTTGTACTCTATCAAAGTTGCTTACTAACTTTAAGACTTATTTTTATTGCTTTGACTATAAATTGGTTAAAAAGCATGGTAATGTTTTATTGCATGTTTGGGTAGCAAAGAAACAGCAAAGTATTTGCTGCCCTGCCTTTGAGATGCTTTTACTTATGGTATAGGCAGTGAAACTAAGTTGCACAAAATTGTAGGAAAGAGGTATGTATGACACTATATGTCATATTACTATGTTTGGTACCTTACAGATATAAATGTATTTGTATATTTTTTATTAGAGAAGTGTTGGTGTTGGACTGTACAAAACTAATTGGAGTGTCTGAACCAAATCTGGGAAGTAAGGTCTCTTTTGGGAAGAAAGGTATAGGTGGAGGTAAAGTGTTTAAGACTTTTGGAATTGGAGGGTGTGTGGGACTAATGTAATTAGGAAGTTAGCTTGATGGGAATATGGATGAAAGTTGTTGAGTAGGCTTGGAGTCAGTTTGTGTTTGTGCAGTTACATTGTGTACAGCCCAAAGAAGCAATTGAGAACAATGTTACCGAGAGGGTAGTTTTAGATGATTGAGGAGAAATTGTATTCTAGGTCAGGAGGCATTATACCTGGAGTAGGATTTTGTTTTTCTAGGGAGCCAACATTTTTACACCATAGTCTTCGAAGAGCTGTACAACTGGAGGAGTGAAAAAGATGCTCCCAATATTTTAGATTGGTGCTAGTGGTTTCTTATAGAAAGTCATTCAGAAATGAGGCAGTGGACTTTGTTTTTGACACTAAATTTTAGGGTAAAAAGTTGGTGCTGATGCAACCTGAAGACAGAAAAATAGTTAAACTAATGTGTGATATGCTGGAAATGTAGAGTTAGGAATCATTTTCACAGTATTAGGTTTCTTGAGAGAGCTGACAGAGAGTAAAGAGCTGAAAAATGTGTCTTTTTACTTTGGGGGAAGGGACTCTGTTAAAGTTAGCAAAGATATGGTAAGAACAAAAAATGGATGAGACTCTCCCTAACAAAATGTTTTAAAAGTAGATTAAGATTTGAAGTTCAAAAGAGAGGAACAGTCTTTAAACGTGGCTACCAGTTCGGTCTTAGGACATGTGAGTCTATATTTTTGAAGGAGCTAACAATTTTTTTGTAGAGTATATAGGTCTCTTGAGATTAAGATCAGAAGAATATATAGGATTTCACTGTTAAGGAACTTATACATAAAAGGACAGATTTGTTTTCATAAAAATTCATGTTTTTTAAGTTTGTCCAGCATTATTATCCTAAGTTTGGTCTTTAACATGACGAAGTAGGGCTAAAAATAGCTGGCAGAGAAGGCTGCTTCCCCTGCTTGCAGTTGATGTGTGTCTTTGTGTCCCATACAATGGAGGGGATATCCCTGTGTTGGCACAGCAGTGCTGAAAATGGTTTTTTTTTTTAAACCTTTTTATTAAAAAACAAACAAAAAACAACTTGGCATTTAAAAAAATTCAGCTGTCTTTGAAGCATGAGACACTGGAAGACCTTTTTTTGTGGTGAAGCCTGCAGCTAATGGGGCTTGCTTTTAGTGTTGACTCTAACAAAGATTAAGGATTGTAAGATAAGGAATACATACATATCCACACTTTTTGTGTTCCTTAGTTCATTCAGTTCACCACCTTCCTAGTAGCTTCTTTGGTCTCTTCTTAAGAATTTAATTCAAATGGCAGAACTCTGCGGAAGAGATGTTTAGATAGGGAGCTAGATCTCAGGTGATTCTACGATGAGAGTATGGGACTGGAATATATGCCATGTGGGTGCCTTCTCCACCCTCTGCTTTTCCACAACATATTTTATGCGGGTGAAACCATGTTTAGATGAACTTAAAGGGCAGCCTTTTTGGGTTGACATAATTTACTAGTAAAGGTAGTGGGAAAGGTGTGACTCTGGTAGGAGGGAGTGGTAACCTCATGTGCTTTGCCTTGGCAACTTTGGGATTGCTTTGGGATGATTAAAGGGCCTGGGGTGTGCATTTGTGTTTTAGCATCAGATGACCCAAAAGCCTACACCTAGGCTGACAGCAGCTCAATTCGTGTACTTCAGAGATGATGGTTCTTGGAGATGTCATGTGTTGCCTCTGACATCTCATTGTGTGGAGGAGGTTTGTGTTTTTTTTTTTTTTTTTTGTAAAGGGCCAGTTAGTAAATATTTTAGATTTTGTGGACTACATCTGATGCAACAATTGAATTCTGCTCTTGTGGTTTGAAAGTAGCCATAGACAGTGTGTAAGCAAATGAGTGTGACTGTGTTCCAGTAAAACCTTATACAGTGACCCTCAAACAATGCAGAGGTTAGGAATACCAACCCCCTGTGCAGTTGAAAATCTGTGTATGACTTTTGAGTCACCCAAAACTGAACTACTGATAGCCTAGTATTGACTGGAAGCTTTACCGATAACATAGTCTAATACATATTTTGTAGGTTATATGTATTATATACCACATTCTTAATAATAAAGTAAGCTAGAGTAAAGAAAATCTTATTAAGAAGATACATTGACAATACTGTATTGTTATTTATTGAAAAAAATTCATGTGTAAGTACAGTTCAAACCCTTATCATTCAAGGGTCAACTATACCTAAACTATGTAGTTTATGGAACCCTCGTGTAGAAAACTGCCAAGTCGACCCACATACAGTATGAGCTTCATTCCGTTACAAAACTTGGACTGGCTGTTTTAGGTTTCTCTGTTCCTTGGTCCTGTCTTAAAGTGATTCTATATGAAGTCTACAGTTCAAAATACTTTTGTCTCCAGAGTGATGAATACTATGGGAACTTGAGGAACAAGGGGCAGTGCTGTCTATAGCAGCTAAAAAGTAGGGACTACTTGCATTTTTGATTCAGAGATAAATAATTTGCATAAAGTAATATACCGGCTACGTATCATAGCCGAAAGTATCTTTGAAGAATCTTAGGGGTGTAATTCTGAATGGTTCTGAAAACAAGTTGTAAATAATTGTAAAGCATTTACTTTATATGTAAAATTATAAATGTTTATAGTTGGTTTGAGTCAGGTGAAAATAATTAAACCAAATTCTAAGAACATTAAGATTTGGTACTTCTGTTTTTTAAAGTCTTGTACTGTTACAATGACCAATTCAGTGTGTAGAATTATTGGGTACAAAATTTTTGTTTTGTTAAGTATTCTAAAATCCTCTAGATAACTTAAATGTGTACTTTAAAAAATCTTTGCTGTATTCTTGAGGGTAAATGTAGCATGGATTAATTTATTTCTTAGGTGAATCTATCTTAAAT